TTATGTAACATAATATAATATTATATATTATATTATATTTTATATTATATTTTATATTATATTTTATATTATATTATATTATATTATATTATGTTTTATATTATATTATATTATGTTTTATATTATATTTTATATTATATTATGTTATAGTATATATTATATTATATTATGTTTTATATTATGTTTTATTTTATTTTATATTATATTATATAATGTTATATTATATATTATTTATTTATTTATTTATTTCCGGCACTTATACCCCGCCCTTCTCACCCCCAAGGGAGGACTCAGGGCGGCTTACACAATGAGGCACCGTTCCGTGCCCATACAATTGCAGTTATACAAAGTGACAATCATAATTAAAACAATTAAAACAGTTATCATAGATAAAACCACAATGCAATTAACAATCAATAACACAATATATATCACAACATATAGAACAATTCACGTGTTCAGCATTCGTCTTTCCGGGTTCCAGATCCCATTCCATTATACCTTTCCTAGATAGTGTCAATTCTTTACCTGCTCGTTTGACCAAACGCTTGGTCCCACATCCATGTTTTGAGTTTTCTCCTAAAGGAGAGGAGTGAGGTCGCTGTTCTGATTTCCCCGGGAAGCGAGTTCCACAGGCAGGGGGCCGCCACCGAGAAGGCCCTGCTCCTCGTCCCCGCCAACCTCACTTGTGACACTGGCGGGGTCGAGAGCAGGGCCCCCCCGGCCGATCTTAAACTCTGGGGTGGGACGTAAAGGGAGATCCGTTCGGACAAATACACTGGGCCAGAGCCGTATAGGGTTTTGTAGGTCAAAACCAGCACTTTGAATTGTGCTCGGAATTGGATCGGCAGCCAGTGGAGCTGATGTAACAGTGGAGTGGTATGCTCCGGTGAGCAATCTGGCTGCCTCTCGCTGGACTAGTTGAAGTTTCCGAGCAGTCTTCAAAGGCAACCCCACGTAGAGTGCGTTGCAGTAATCTAATCGGGATGTAACAAGAGCGTGGACCACCGTGGCCAGATCCGACTTCCCAAGGTACGGGCGCAGCTGGCGCACAAGTTTTAATTGTGCAAAATTATGTTTTATATTATATTATATATTATATTATATTATATTATATTATATATTATATTATATTATATATTATATATTATATATTATATATTATATATTATATATTATATTATATTATTAGGTTCTTGTGGGTTTTTTTCGGGCTATAGAGCCATGTTTTAGAGGCATTTCTCCTGACGTTTCGCCTGCATCTATGGCAAGCATCCTCAGAGGTAGTGAGGTCTGTTGGAATTAGGACAATGGGTTTATATATGTGGAATGGCTGGGGTGGGGCAAGGAGCTCTTCCCTGCTGCAGTTAGGTGTGAATGTTTCAGCTGATCACCTTCATTAGCATTAGAAGGCCTGCCTGAGCCTGGGAAAATCTCTTGCTGGGAGGTGTTAATCTGTGCCTGGTTGTTTCCTCTCTGTTGTTTTGCTGTTGTAATTTTAGAGTTTTTTAATACTGGTAGCCAGATTTTGTTCATTTTCATGGTCTCTTCCTTTCTGTTGAATTTGTCCACATGCTTGTGGATTTATATGTGGATAATATATTATATTATGTTTTATATTATGTATTATATTATATTAATTATATATTATATTATATTATATTATATTATATTATATTATATTATATTATATTATATTATGGAGAAAGGCAGGGAGTTTCAGAAAAACATCTACTTCTGCTTCATTGACTATTCTAAAGCCTTTGACTGTGTGGATCATAATAAATTGTGGCAAGTTCTTAGTGGGATGGGCATCCCAAGCCACCTTCCCTCTCTCCTGAGGAATCTGGACAAGGACCAAGTAGCAACAGTCAGAACTGACCACGGAACAACAGACTGGTTCAAGATTGGGAAAGGCGTCCGGCAAGGCTGCATCCTCTCACCCAACCTTTTAACTTGTATGCAGAACACATCATGCGAGTATGTGCGGGGCTTGCGCGGAAGATCTAGTTTGCCAAGGGCCGAACAATGGATTCTGTTGCTTCCTGACCCAGCGCACATAACTGGGTTCCTGTTTCCTTTTTGTGAACTCTCTGACTTATGCACTGGACTATGGACTCTGCTACTACCCAACCCAGCGCCCATCACTGGACTTCTGCCTTTTCTTATTGACTCTCTGCTTCATGAACTGAACTGTTTGCCACATCCCTGGCCACGAACTTCCTTCTGGTGCTTGCCTTGAAATGCAAGCAGCCTCTGTTTCCACGCACCTTTGCCAAAGGACTATGAGATCTCCAGTTTGCGTTATAATAAAGATCCAATATTGTAATAAACTTTGCTTGGGATGGGGATGGGATTGCCTTATGATATTGATATATGTATGTAACCTTATGAATTTCCTCTGTACCCTCGTCCCCTTGACCCTTGCCCCACAAAAACTGCTGTGACCAGGAACTGCCTGGGGGAGGGCTCCAGCCTCTCCCTCAATCACCCTTGATTGTTTCATTTGCATGGACAAAGCTGTTGTTCCCCCAACCCTGGCCATCGGAGCAGGCCAGCCAGGAGAGAAGGGTCAACAGGAACTCAGGAAGAAAAGACTGATTAACTCATTTTAGGTATTGTTGATCCCCCTTTGAGGTCCGATATCGCAAAAAGCCTTTTTCATATTTCCTCCCAAATCCCATCAATAGACCAGGAAACTTATTGTTCCCCTATCAGACACCCCGCCAGGTGAGGACAAAAGCCTCACATTCCCCTTAAGGCTGTCATTTCCTCAGTCTTTGTCAGGCTTCGTCCCGCCTCCTAGCTGCCGATTGGTCCATCTTCAGAGGCGCTAGGAAGGCACTGATTGGCCTCCCAGAGGCAGCGGAGCCCGCTGATTGGTCCAGAGGCGAGGCATGCTGCCAAGCCTCCTCCCAGCTGTTCCGCGGCCAGCCAATCAGCACGAAGCCGGCTGACAGAGGGCGGGCGGGATTTTTGAAACTGTTTTCCTTTGTCTGTGTACTATAAAAATGCTTGGAAATTCTGTAAAATTATGCTTGCAGCGGAATGATTCCTGCAATGCATCTGATCTCAGCTGAATCACAAATAAACCTCGGTTGCTGGAAAAAAACTTCTTCCACTTTGATGAGGCATTATTATTTGTAATATTTTTTACTCTTTGGATTGGCTTTCGCTGGCCTCACCAAAGGTCCAGGGCCCTTTGAGCGGTCCTCAGGGATCTCCTCCGCTGGGAGACCCTACTAAAAACAGCTCGATATCATATCATGCGATGTGCGGGGCTGGATGAATGCAAGGCTGGGGTGAAAATTGCTGGAAGAAACATTAACAACCTCAGATATGCAGATGACACCACTCTGATGGCCGAAAGCGAGGAGGAGCTGAGGAGCCTTCTATCAAGGTGAAAGAAGAAAGCGCAAAAGCCGGGTTGCAGCTAAACGTCAAAAAAACCAAGATTATGGCAACAAGAATGATTGACAACTGGAAAATAGAGGGAGAAACCGTGGAGGCCGTGACAGACTTTGTATTTCTAGGTGCAAAGATTACTGCAGATGCAGACTGTGGCCAGGAAATCAGAAGACGCTTACTTCTTGGGAGGAGAGCAGTGTCCAATCTCGATAAAATAGTAAAGAGTAGAGACATCAGACTGGCAACAAAGATCCATTGCCATTTAAATGAGCCTTAAATTAACTTCTCTGTCTCCTCTACATCTGATGTGCATTTTCCTCTTTAAATAGAGGAAACTCCCAGATCCCATTCATACTCGCAATTAGAACCAAACTTAGCAGCAGAGTACCTTGTGAGTATACACCTATTTGGTGAAATGTATTGGTAAAACATTTATTTTGGTATATATAACTTTTAAATGTTAATAGCCACAATTTGTTCCTTTTACCTAGATCCCATTGCAAAAATTTAAGTATCTCTTATGAGAACGTATGTAAAAGACTGAACTTTGTAAGTATTTCTAAATGTATTCTATTATATTATGTTCAACCTATACAATTGTAAAATGCATTTATGTATGTAATATTACAGACCACCCGAAGAAGGCCTAAGCAAAGGCCGAAACCGGTCGTGGGAGGCTGATTCATGAACATACAACAACATCACTGAAAGACTGTGCAGAACTTATTTCATGTTGCTTAATTTTGTGATTACTGTGAATTGAACAGTCTAAGTTTCACAGCTTACCTATTTGTTGGACTCATTCATTATCTTATCTGTATAAGTGGATTATTGGTGTTTAACCAAGATCCATTGCCTAGTCAAAGCCATGATATTCCCTGTAGTCACCTACGGATGTGAGAGCTGGACCTTAGGGAAGGCTGAGCGAAGGAAGATCGATGCTTTTGAGCTGTGGTGTTGGAGGAAAGTGCTGAGAGTGCCTTGGACTGCGAGAAGATCCAACCAGTCCATCCTCCAGGAAAGAAAGCCCGGCTGCTCACTGGAGGGAAGGAGACGAGAGGGAAAGCGGAAGTCCTTTGGCCACATCATGAGGAGACAGCAAAGCCTAGAGAAGGGAATGATGCTGGGGAAAGGGGAAGGCAAAAGGAAGAGGGGCCGACCAAGGGCAAGATGGATGGATGGCATCCTTGAAGTGACTGGACTGACCTTGAGGGAGCTGGGGGTGGTAACGGCCGACAGGGAGCTCTGGCGTGGGCTGGTCCATGAGGTCACGAAGAGTCGGAGAAGACTGAACGAATGAACAACAACAAAATAATAAATGTAATAATAATAATAATAGAGTAAAATAATGGAATTTTAATAACAATATTATATTATTATTATATTATATTATATTATTATATTATATTATTATATTATTATATTATATTATTATATTATATTTATTATATTATATTATATTATATTATAATAATGGATGGGGATGATTTTTCAACCTGTGGCGAATCTGCTGCCTCAGTTAGTGAGGCGACTGTGGGGGAACGGAGGGGAGGAGTCAATAGAGAGAGAGAGAGAGAGAGAGGCGGGGGGAAAGAGGGCGGGGTCAGTGAAGGCGCAGGCCACGCCCCCTCCGGAGCCAAAATGGCGGCCCCGGGCAAACAGTGAGTGAGGAGAGGAAATGGGGTTGGCAGGAAGGAGCCCGCCTTCGCCCGCCCTTCTCCCCAGGCTTCTGAGGAGGAAAGGCGGGCGGCCCTCTCTCTCTGAGGCGGAGAGACCCTTTCCCTCGCGAGGGCCTCAGTCGTGTGAGGGGAAGGAAGGGGCCGAAGAAGGCTGAAGAGGGCCTCGCCTCAGGTTCCCCTCACAACTCCCTCAGAGGCCAAGAGAGAGGGAGGGAAGGGGTCAATATGGGGGCTTTACTTGAGGGAGACCCACCTTAACCCTGTCAGGCATGGGCAAACTTGGGCCCTCCCTCCAGGGGTTTGGACTTCAGCTCCCACAATTCCTCACAGCCCCATAGAAAGAATATCTATCTATCTATCTTACCTCAAGAATATATATACCTCAAGTATATTCTGGAATATATATATATATATATATACACATATACATACTTGAGGTGAGATAAATATAGATATAAAATTATAGATACCACCTCAAGAATATTCTGGAATATACATCTATATCTATATATTCTTGAAGTGATTATATATATATATATATATATATATATATATATATAGATATATATACTTCAAGTATATTCTGGAATCACACACATACTTGAGGTTAGATATATATAGATATAGATATGAAATTATAGATACCACTTCAACAATATACACACCTCAAGTATATTCTGCAATATATATCTATATATTCTTGAGGTGATATATATATATATATCACAATAATATATATACCTCAAGTATATTCTGGAATATATATATATATATATATACACATATACATACTTGAGGTGAGATAAATATAGATATAAAATTATAGATACCACCTCAAGAATATTCTGGAATATACATCTATATCTATATATTCTTGAAGTGATTATATATATATATATATATATATATATATATATATATATCACAATATATATACCTCAAGTATATTCTGGAATATATACATACATATACATTCTTGAGGTGAGAGATACAGATATGAAATTATAGATACCACCTCAAGAATATACACACCTCAAGTATATTCTGGAATATATATATCTATATGTTCTTCTCAAGTATATTCTGGAATATATATATATATTATATGTATATATATACATATACATATACATACTTGTGGTGAGAGATATATATATAGATATATGAGAAATTATAGATACCACCTCAAGAATATACACACTTCAAGTATATTCTGGAATATATAACTATATATATTATTGAGGGGATATATATATCACAATAATATATATACTTCAAGTATAGTCTGAAATATATATATCTATATATATATACACACACACATACATATACATACCTGAGGTGAGATAGATATAAAATTATAGATACCACCTCAAGAATATACACACCTCAAGTATATTCTGGAATATATATCTATATATATTATTGAGGTGATTATATATATATATATATATATATATATATATATATATATCACAATATATATACCTCAAGTATATTCTGGAATATATACATACATATACATTCTTGAGGTGAGAGATACAGATATGAAATTATAGATACCACCTCAAGAATATACACACCTCAAGTATATTCTGGAATATATATCTATATATATTATTGAGGGGGGGGACAAGGGACAGGGCCTTTTCTGTGGTGGCCCCCCGGCTATGGAACTCCCTCCCAAGTGAAATTAGATCTGCTGCATCCCTCTTGACCTTTCGGAAACAAGTGAAATCCTGGCTATGGGATCAGGCCTTTGTAGATTAGGTTGACCTGCTGACGTGACTGGCTGCTTCTTGGACAATGACTTAAACCGGCGACTGCTGGCTGTTTGATTGTTTTTATACTGTTTTACACTGTTTTATACCATTTTATTGCTATATTGTTATTTAAATTGTATATTTAAAGAACAGTATTTAAATTGTTATTTAAATATACAATTTAAATAACAATTGTTAGCCGCCCACAGTCCCTCTGCAGAGGTCGAGATAGGACGGGATACAAATGTCCGAAATAAATAATAAATAAATTTGTATGATATATATTATAACAAATATATCAGGAACATGTATGCATATATGTGTGTGGTGTGTGTGTGTGTGTATACACACACACACACACACACACAAGAATGTATATCATATAGAGAGAGGCAGCGTAAAAAAATTCAGTATGCAGAGACGATACGAGGGGATATGAGGCACGAAAATATGCGTTCAGTATATGGAGGACAATATGAGGGGATTTTTATGAAGCCTAAATATAGCATAGATAATATACAGGAAAGTCTAAAAGAGTTCAGATTGTGGAGGGCAATGTGAGAGGATTATTATGAAGCCCAACGATAACTATGTGTAGATAAAGATATATAGAGAAGTTTTTTTAAAAAAAGTTCACTAAAGGACAACAAAGGGGCATTTTAGGAGACACCGAGGTATATATAGATATAAAGGGAAAATGTCTTAGAGTTCAGTACGTGGAGGGCAATGTGAGGGGATTTTTCTGAGGGACTTGGACATATTTGTATATGGAGAGAGAGAGTTCAAAACTCACCATGTTAGGAAAAATGTATCTTTAGTTCTAAAAGTTACAAAATATTTACAAAAGTGTATTTTGTTTATAGGCAATTTTTGGACACTGCGTATATTGGAAACTAGCCGTCCCCTGCCATGTGTTGCTGTGGCCCACATGGGGGTTCTGTGGCCCAATTCTATCGTTGGTGGGGTTCAGAATGCTCTGTGATTGTAGGTGAACTATAAATCCCAGCAACTACAACTCCCAAATGTCAAGATTCTGTTTTCCCCAAACTCCACCAGTGTTCACATTTGGGCATATTGAGTATTCGTGTAGAGTTTGGTCCAGATCCATCATTGTTTGAGTCCACAGTGATCTCTGGATGTAGGTGAACTACAACTCCAAAACCAAAGGACACTGCCCACCAAACCCTTCCAATATTTTCTGTCATGGGAGAACGGTGTGCCAGGTTTGGTTCAATGGCCCACATGGGGGTTCAGTGGCCCAATTCCATTGTTGGTGGGGTTCAGAATGCTCTTTGATTGTAGGTGAACTATAAATCCCAGCAACTACAACTCCCAAATGACAAAATCAATTTTTTTTTGAGTGAAGGACATACATTGGGTTGTTAGGTGTCTTGTGTCCAAATTTGGTGTCAATTCGTCCAGTGGTTTTTGAGTTCTGTTAATCCCACAAACGAACATTACATTTTTATTTATATAGATGAGTCAAAATAGTTTTAACAACTTTAAGCTGAAAAAGTTGCAAAAACTATTGAACCTATATTTAAAAAAAATATCTTTCCGCAGGTATGGACTTATATTCCCGAAGAAAGCACAACAGAAAACCCTCGTCAAACATGCGGTGTTTATGGACGACTCTGATGAAGAGGTCAGTTTCCTTGGGAGATTCGGAGTGGATCTACAATTGTGGAATTAATGCAGTTTCATACGAGTTTAACTGCTGTGATTCAGTGCTATAGAAACACGGGAGTTTTCGAAGGCGTTTCGCCTTCTCTGCCAAATGCCGCGGTGCTTCACCAAACCAAACTACAACCCCTATGAGTCTATAGCATTGAACCACAGCAATTAAAAGTGGCGTCAAACCGCATAAATTCAACAGTGTGGGGTGCAAAGCGGGGCAGAAAGTTTATTGTATTTACTTTCTTTTTTCTCCTTGTTTCCTTTTTCTCCAGTGGGGGGCACTGTATGCCATGGAATTTTCCATATACAATGTCTCATAAGTGAGAAAACATTTCAGAGTGATATTAATATTTATGGATAGATGTTCAGAAACAAAAGTATATAATTTCTTTCTCATATTCTTTTTTATACACACACACCCACAGACTTGGTGTACAAAGAGTCTCAGATTCAGTCCTTGTCATCTCCAAGCATGACTAAGTGATCAGTGTGACCATTGAGCTCTTTTTCTGGAGGTATTTGCACTCTTTGAAGATAATAATAATAATAATAATAATAATAATAATAATAATAATCTTTATTTGTACCCCGCTACCATCTCCCCAAGGGACTCGGTGCGGCTTACATGAGGCCAAGCCCAAAGTATATCAAACAAAACATCAATAAACACAACATCAATAAACAATCAATAAAATAAAAATCATATAAATCACAAAAAAACCCAATCTATAGTGACATAAACAATTTTAACAATGGCTGGGCCAAATGTAATAGATTAAAATTGAAAATATGCTGACGTGAACAAGGTAAAATATAACTAGGATAGGATTTTTTGGAGAGAAATGAGGGAGCACAGTCCATCCTAAGTCAGTATTAAAGTGCATTGTGAGGACATATTGCTGAGAGTTCTCCTTATTCTGGGAAGGCACACTGGAACAACCACGTTTTCAGGCTCCTCCTAAAGACTGCCAGCGTTGGGGCATGTCTAATGTCCCTGGGAAGTGAGTTCCAGAGTTGAGGGGCCACCACCGAGAAGGCCCTCTCCCTCGTCCCCACCAATCACGCCTGGGAAGGAGGTGGGAGTGAGAGCAGGGCCTCTCCAGATGATCGAAGAGATCGTGTGGGTTTATACACAGAAATGTGGCCACGCAGGTAGCCAGGTCCCAAACCGTTCAGGGCTTTGAAGGTAAGAACCTTGAATTGGGACCGGAAAATGAATGGCAGCCAGTGGAGCTCCTTAAACAGGAGGGTTGACCGCTCCCTGTAAGAAGCACCGGTTAGTAACCTGGCTGCCGCCCGTTGTACCAATTGAAATTTCCGGGCCATTTTCAAGGGCAGCCCCACGTAGAGTGCATTACAGTAATCCAATCTAGAGGTGACTAAGGCATGGACCACCCTGGCCAGTGTATTATCTCTGTACGTCCATATCCTTGTTTAATAATAGATACATTCATTCCTCCTTTTGCTGAGATGGAAAGAAAAGACCGCTAGGCAGTAGTCTTTAGGTTATAAAAGTTTAGACTTTGACTTAGGCGATCCCTCGAAGCCCGAGGATGATGGTCCTCCAAGTGATGTGTCTTGGCGATGAGTCCGTAGGTAGCTGTGGAGCCCTATTCTTGATCCTCATGTTCTCCTGCAGTGAGGACATCGGTTTCCAAGTGGATGGCAGTCCTGGTCACGCGCCTTCCTCTTGGCATGTTTCTCCCTTTCATCCTCCATTCGTGCCTCCTCAAATTCTGCAGCACTGCTGGCCACATCTGACCTCCAGTTAGAGCACTCAAGGGCTAGGGCTTCCCGTTCTTGTTGTCTATTCAACAGTTTTTGAGGTTCGCTTTAAGCCCATCTTTCAATCTCTTTTCCTGTCCACCAACATTACGTTTCCTGTTCTTGAGTTGGGAGTAGAGTAACTGCTTTGAGAGGCGGTGATCTTTGGGCATTCGGACAACGTAGCCTTCAATCCAGTGGAGTTGATGGCGTAGGACAGGTGTCCTCAAACTTTTTTTTTAAAGGGCCAGGTCGCAGTCCCTCAAACTGTTGGAGGGCCAGATTATAATTTGAAAAAACACGAATGAATTCCTATGCACACTGCACGTATCTTATTTGTAGTGCAATAAACACTTAAAAAAACAATAGAATAATTAAAATGAAGAACAATTTTAACAAATATAAATTGAATATAGTATTTCAATGGGAAGTGTGGGGCTGTTCAGATAGGATTGTTGTTGTTGTGTGCTTTCAAGTTGTTTCGGATTTAGGTTGACGCTGAGTGAGGGCCGGGTAAATCACCTTGGAGGGCCGTATCCGGCCCCCGGGCCTTAGTTTGAGGACCCCTGGCGTAGGAGCATCGCTTCAGTGCTGGTGGTCTTTGCTTCTTCTTCCAGCATGCTGACATTTGTCTGCATGTCTTCCCAAGAGATTTGCAGGATTTTTCGGAGGTAACACTGATGGAATTGTTCCAGGAGTTGAGTGTGACACATAGGGTGGGACTTGAATCCTTTTGGGAATCCTGACTAAAATAAATTCACAGAATCATAACTTAGCAATGAGTTAGTGCAATTTCTTTTGATTCTGTTGGGATTCGGAGCCAGGCATGGTGCCGAGTGTGTTGCTGTTTTGCATCGACGTATACAACCCTCCCAAAATGCCCTTAGATCCTTCTCTCACTTTTAAAATTTCTGGCTGTTATCCTAGTACAGTGGTTCTCAACCTTCTTAATGCCGCGACCCCTTAATACAGTTCCTCATGTTGTGGTGACCCCCAAGCAAAAAATTATTGTTATTGCTACTTCATATCTGCAACTTTGCTACTGTTATTATGTAAATATCTGATATGCAGGATGTATTTTCATCACTGGACCAAATTTAAATACTGGTGGGGTTGGGGGGATTAATTTTGTCATTTGGGAGTTGTAATTGCTGGGATTTATAGTTCACCTACAATCAAAGAGCATTCTGAACTCCACCAACGATGGAACTGAACCAAATTTGGCACATGGAACTCCCAGGACCATCGGAAAACACTGGTTTAGCAGGCATTGAACTTGAGTTTGGGAGTTGTAGTTCACCTACATCCAGAGAGCACTGTGGCCTCAAACAATGATGGATCTGGATCAAACTTGGCATGAATACTCAATATGCCCAAATGTGAACACAGATGGAGTTTGGTGAAAATAGTCCTTGACATTTGGGAGTTGTAGTTGCTGGGATTTATAGTTCACCTATAATCAAGGGAATTATGAACCGCACCAATGATAGAATTGGGTGAAACTTCCCACACAGAACCCCCATGACCAACATAAAATGTTGTGTTTTCTGATGGTCTTTGGCGACCCCTCTAAAACCCCCTCGCGACCCCTCCAGGGGTCCCGACCCCCAGGTTGAGAACCACTGTCCTAGTAAGTCATTACAATAGGTAATGACAGTAATTTGTAATCCTGCACACAGGTTAACAGAGAAATTGGTTGCACTGTTACTGATTTTCACAAGGTTGGTGGTTAACCTTTGGTATTGAACGAAAGCAGAACTTGACAGTGATGGTTTGAACCGGCTCTTGTGTATGAAAACATATAATGCATCAACATATACAACCCTCCCAAAATGCCCTTAGATTCTTCTCTCACTTTTAAAATTTCTGGCTATTATCCTAGTAAGTCATTACAATAGGTAATGACTTACTCATTTGTAATCCTACATGCAGTTAACAGAGAAATTGGTTGCACTGTTACTGATTTTCACAAGGTTGGTGGTTGACCTTTGGTATTGAACGAAAGCAGAACTTGACAGTGATGGTTTGAACCGGCTCTTGTGTATGAAAAAAGCATATAATGCAGGAGGCTGAGGGTGAGAGAGGGACCTTCCAACAGAACTTCCCATCTTGTTTTCACAGCCCACAAAGTAGCAATAATTCTCGCAAGTACAGTACTTCTATCATCAACCAAAAAAAAATAATTTTTTTTTTAAGAGCAACATTACTTTATTAGTTCAGTAATAATTTTAGGGCTTTTTCGAGATAAGGAGCTGCCTTTGGGAGGGGTTTCATTTCCTGGCTGCTCCCTTATCAGCAGAAACTCTTCGGTGCGTGTCTGAAGATGGTGTATTTATAACCGAACTCTAATAAAGCCCGCGTCGGTGAACCTGCACACCTGATTTGGCTGTGGCGATTGTACATGAGATAGAAAACTTTTGTTCCTTTTTTTTAAAAAAAGAATGTTAACTAGGCACCTTTTCATTAAGATTGTCCTTTCATCCTGCTTGTGCTGAGGAGCGGTTGTTCTCGTCGCTCTCGGTTCTGTAACAAAGCTTGGGCATTGGGATGAATTTGGGGAGAAGGCAGCGAGTTCATGCATCGATGCACTTTGGTTGCATCTGTTGTAGAAAAGAATTTGAAATAATATGGGGGTATTCAGGTTGATCGTTGGAGTTGAGAAGTTGTTGGCTTTCCAGATAGGACTGGACTGCAGTTTCCATCTCCCTTTTTGCTTCCTATGCTGGTAAGGACTGGGGACAGTTACAGTTCCCACTACAATTTCCCCAGTTCAAGGGAAGTTATAGGTAAAGGGTAAAGGTTTTCCCCTGACATTAAGTCCAGTCGTGTCCGACTGGGTTGGTGCTCATCTCCATTTCTCAGCCGAAGAGCTGGCATTGTCCATAGGCACCTCCAAGGTTATGTGGCCGGCATGATGCATGGAGCGCCAGAGCGGTACCTATTAATCTACTCACATTTGCATGTTTTTGAACTGCTAGGTAGGACAACCTGGGGCTAACAGCGGGAGCTCACTCCGCTCCCCGAATTCCAACCTGCAACTTTTAGCAGCTCAGCGGTTTAACCCACTGCACCACCGGGGGCTCCAAGGGAAGTTATAGTGATGCCCTATTCTACTTTGCTCAAAGCTCACCTGGATTTTTTTTTTTTCATGTCAGGAGCAACTTGAGAAACTGCAAGTCGCTTCTGGTGTGAGAGAATTGGCCG